ACTGATGTCTCACACTCTTTAAAATAGAAATTTCTGTTGAAATTTAAAATTACCTTCCATATGTCCGGTACAATCACCCTCTTTTGTTCAGTGATATGAAGGCTAGTAAGACTTGAATCTAAACTACAGGTGATATAGACATGTCTTTGTTTTCACATTAACCTTTCTTCTTAAGCGATGCTCCCTTTTTAGTCCTGGAACATGAAGGTCACTTAAAATGTCCTTATTGTTTGTAATAACTTTTAGAAAAATCCATATGTTGTTTAATAGCAGCAGGCTTTCTACACAGGAAGTACTTGATAAGGTTTCCTCGGGAGCCTATTGTCTTCAGATCATTGTACTATATTCCCATCGCCTCTGCAAGTTCAGTTCCTCCTTTGCTTGGTCTTCCTCCATTTTTTTTTTTTTTTTTTTTATCATTGGCTACACTTTCCTCGGGAGCCTATTGTCTTCAGATCATTGTACTATATTCCCATCGCCTCTGCAAGTTCAGTTCCTCCTTTGCTTGGGCTTCCTCCATTTTTTTTTTTTTTTTTTTTATCATTTGGCTACACAGAGCTGTCTCATGTCATTCTTTGCATACATCATCACTGTTTTTTCTCTTTGCCTGCATAATGGCCCAGCTTTTCTGAGAGTCGCTGTTGTCCAGAGTGTGATCCTTTACTAAAATGGGGATTGAATGAAGGTGGAGCTCAAATTATCTAGGAGCAAAGGAAAACCAGGCATTTGAAAACGACCTAGAAAGGAACGAGTAATGAACCAGAGTGGCCTCAATGAATTGCTGTAGAGGGAATTCTCAGTTTTGACACAAAAGGAATGCCTGGATACCAAGGAAAACCTAGGGGGAGAATCTCGGTAGGAAGCCTGCCTCATCGGCCAGTCAGCCCGGAGGGCTGAAGCCAGTAGCTCTCCAGATAGGAACAGAAACCCATGTATTTTATGAGTAACAGTTAAGCATTCAAACATGCTGTTTTGGAACACAAGGTACTTTGAGGAGTTGACATCCCTTCGTAATTCATGTTCATTGTTCCTCTAAGTAAAATATGTGTCCCCCTTTAGTTATTCTGCTAGGAATTGTACTTTAAAGGCAAGAGGACATTTTTGATAATGCACATCTTAAACTTTTCATTAAACTACCAAATTTAAATTCTACCTTTTTGTGCACTCTGACATTTTTGTCTGGCATTTTCATTAATTTTGCGACATACATAAATGTAGCTGAAATGTTAACTGATCAATACTTTGTCTCTCTCATGTAGCACTAGCGTTCCATTCCCTAAGGACCACACAGCAGAACAGAAATTAAATGTGTAAAATATCAAATGTTAATGTTAAACACAGCAGCACTTACTGTATAACGACAGAAAAGGCTAAAACAATTCCAAATGGACAGATGGTACCACAAATTATCTACAATCCCATTTAAGGATTAAAGTTTGTCCTGTAAAATAATTCTTTGACGCACACTGAAGTGTGTCCTTTTTACTGATAGCCTGGTCGTCCAATTATTTTTGTGCTCATTACAGTGAGAAATGACAGTACTGAAAAGAAAGAGAGAATGTACACTTTTTTTTTTTCCATGTTGCACCCACTGACATCCACAAGAACACAAATGTCTGGTCAAGAGCCTGATGAAAATTAGGCCCAATTTATGAGACACTTCCACATCTACAATAGATGAATCCCAAAGACAAGCGGTTGTGCATTCCACATCACATACGTCTGTGTTTGCTCTTAGGCATACAATATTCATAGTAAAATTTAGAAACCTAATTCATAGCACACAACAATAAGGACATTCATTCCCGGGAACGTGTTTGCTTATATTTCATCCATCACCTTCCAGGCCGATTTCCGCTTCTAATACTGTAAGCCAGCTTTGAACCTTCCACAGAGCACATAGGTAGCACATAAAGAAGCCAGGGCAGCTCTCCCCCTGCATTTCACATACTCTCCATTTTAACTGACATAGGGACAAAAATTATTGTTTTTCCATTTAAATTTCATTATTCTACATTTATTTTTGGATAGTAAATTAGAAAAGAAAAATAAAATGGAATAGAAAAAAGCCACTTAAACATAAAGTTTACTGATCTGGGCCTAAAACCAAGCAGCATAATGGTACAAATGCATGTGCTCCATGTGAGGCAGCTGCATTTATGAAAAAGTGGGCCAAGTGGAACCAATATTATAATAATAGACCCATGATCCATCAACAGGGAATGATGGGAACAATATGTTTGTAACAATGGGGTGCTGCTCATAGCTTCTCCTAATGGAAAGCAGTTCTTTTCAAAAAACTGGCCTAAAAAAGGCTCTGGTTATGCAATAAGATCTTTGAAACATTTCATTTTTAAATACATCATTGAATATCTACAAGATGAATAAAAATCCTACAACAGTTCTTTTTTCCCAAATCGTTATGATATTAAGATTACAAGGTACATGTTTTAAAAGCTCTTTTAAAAAGGAAATAATATCCATGTGGCTTGGGGCAAGGTACTTAACTTGTCTGTGCCTCAGTTTCTCCCTCTGTATATCAGGAAAATAATAGTATCTACCTCATAATAAGGTTGTTGGGAATATTAAATTTATTAATGCATGAAAAGCACTTTCATGCTTTAGTGCCTGAAAAACAGTTCTTTGGCACATAGATTTGTAATAAATGTTAGTTGTTATTATTACTATACAAGGATCCTTTTGTATCAGAATTTAATCTGAGACTAAAATAGATGACTGAGAGAGGATTATGAAATAGTTTAGAATTCAAATGGAAGGTATAGGAAAAATGGCTACAAAGCATTAAGCTATGTCTATCATCATTTAATAGCTAGCTTTATTAGAGCAAACCCTTATTTATATGGTATCATTGAAGAAAGTTTCTCCACATAAGAAAAAAATTTCAGACTGACTGACTGGATCATTGGTTAGTCTATCGATTTAGATAGTCATTTATATTGGGAGCCTACTAACGCTAGATACTCTGCAGGTGATGCTAGAGTCCCAGGTGAAAAAGGCAGGGTCCCCATTCTCCTGGAACTCCTAGTTCAGGTCCAGATAAATGAAGCTGGCTTTTGTTTTCATTGTTTTAATAACATTCAATGGAATATAATTCAGTGCTTCTTTTTTTTTTTTTTCAATAAAACCATTAATATTGTTGTTTCTTCTCAAAAGTACTGTTAATGTGCATTCACATTGTAGTTTTTGGTCTCTTTTTTCACCAGCAGTGTCAGGGGTCCCTTTTCCTACCTTTATTGTGGCCTCCCCCACCCCCCTTATTCTGAAAGCATCTTTCATTCAGCTTGTGTTTTGTAGGATCCAGTCTGTTAGAAACTGACCACCAGCTAAGAGACAGAATAGTACATTTCTTCCCCAGGGAATTTTGACTCCCTTTCAGTGAAATTACTCAAGTACCATCATGTACATGTAGCTAAGTTTCTCATAGAGTTTCACTGCCTGGTTTTTTTTTCAATCAGAAAGAAATTGTGAAAAAAAAGTCTGCCATCTTGAATTCATTTTACATGAGTGACCTCTAGAAGCCAGATGAAGTTTATGAAGACTTACACACATTGTAATGCTAAATTGCTCAAAATGAAGGTTCCTGAACAAATGATATAATTATATAGGTTTCTCTGTTTTCAAATTTCACATATAGCTGTGAGGAATGACTTTGGGAGGAGTGAATCAAAGATGGCAGCAAGACATTTTCAGTAGAATATTATTGTGTCTCCTAAAAGGCCCCTGGAAGTAATGGCATAAAAGACACACAGAAACTCAATATCATTTTTTCCTCATTAACATCAAAGTGCCTCTATGATGCTGAAAAATAATAATAAAGTTTGTTTAACAGTACTCCAGTGTATTTATTATGTGAAAGAGCTAAATACAAGAATATTGAAAGAGGCAGATTTTCTTTTCTAAAACTTAATGATGATGACAGTCACTTTCTTTAAGGAGACAACGACATGTCCACGGGAAGCAGGCTGCTTAACTTTCTGGTAACTTACAACACAAAGGGACATATACACTCTTTGTTCCATGTGCTCAGACATTAATGAAAGTCCCATACAAGGCCTGAGAGGAGGACAGAGCTCAAAGTACTAAACAGATGTGCATACACTCATTTGAATGGTAATACTAAAATGTTGATTTGTTACTATAATTAAAACTCTTCTTGTAAGCCCCTTACAATAAAGTCATATTCTGAGAAACCGGCAACTATAAGGAAGCATAAGGTACTCATATTCTAACAATAAAATAAAAGATTTCAAAAGAACGAGTCCACTTAAACTTCAAACCGAAACCCTGAATAAGCAAAAATAATGTGAGAGCAGAAAATCCCAGCTGAAGCTCAGAGGAAAGTATTCTTTCAGATTTTCTAGCTTTGCAAGTTGGTCTCATCAGCAGTTTTTAAATAACCAAAGTAAAAGGCTACAAGATGAACATTGTCAGAGGACTATTTGGATCTATCAAACTCTCACTCATGCCTTTTTAAAAGCTGGAAATCTCAGAAATAATAAAATGTGCCTTAAATAGGTCACATCCACTTCCAACTGATTCACATATTAAAGTATCACCAACTAGCATTCTACTGCCAAGGATTTTCATATTTTGAAAAAAATATCTACAGGACAAATAAAATTAAAATGAAGACGGTCAATATTATTATTATTTTTTAATGCTAAGGACTTTTCTTGGCTCTGCTATTGGGATTTGGAATTATGCAATATGTAAAGTTTTACATTTTAACTGTCACAGAGAAAATTATACATTGGCTGAGATGTCTTATATTCCGGAAATCTGAGGCGGGGATGTATTCTTGGACTCAGACCCTGAACAATCCATCAGGTTCCTGCCCACGGCAAATCTGCCCAGTCAAGTCTCAAAATAGAAGTTTAAAATGGCCACATCACCATAACTGTAACTATTGCCACAGAAACATGCAGCTATGATTACTGAATTTAATGAATAAGAATGTAAGTAATACAGTATGAACATACCACAAAAGCAGCGAGGCTCCTTGCAGGTGAATCCCAGTCAAAGCAACTATTAATGTAGTATGCAGCATTTACGAGCACCATGACACAACGCTTCATTCTGATAAAGTTTCTTAGTAGTAGCTATAGGAAGATGAAAGTATTATTAGAATTTGCAAGACTAAAACCCATCAGATATGCTACAAAATTCTTCAAGTTTAGTGTGATTTAAAATGGATTCAGAAAGTTAATAAAGTTGTAAGAATATACCAAGCAATTTGGCTCACAAGTTAGAAGAAAAGAAGTATCTCTAGAGAAGGTGAAAAGAACTAAATTATAAGTGCAATTTCTTAGTTAAATATATTTGCATAAATAATACTATCATGCAAATTGGGCTACCTCTATTCAAAAGAAAAAAAAATCTCCAACAGTTCAAAAACATTTTTTCGCCACTTAGAATACTGGGAACCTTAAATATATTTAAGAATTCTGAAGTCCTGTGCTTTTAAAATGCTTTAAATGCTTTAATTTCAAGATATTTCAAAGTGAAATGGATAACTGGGGATGGTTTTATTTAGGGCCTTAGGGAAAAACCTGTCAAGTATTGCTTTATTATAGAAAACTAACATGTTTTTTCACCATTTCAGTAGGAGTCTCCCTTTCTTACTATCATAGTCTCATTCTCTCTCTCTCTTTTCCCTCTTCGTCTCTCTATCTCCCTCCTTCCCACAATAAATTTCACCCACATTTTCTCATTACTCTTTCATAATTTTGAATTTAGGGAAAAATGTATGACAAGTAGTTTACAAAATCTGTTACTAAAAAAGGTATATGACAAACTATTATATACAAAATAAGCTACAAAGATATATCGTACTACACGAGGAATATAGTCAATATTTTATAATAACGACAAATGGAACAAACCTTTAAAAATTGGGAATCACTATACTGTACACTTGTAACATATAATACTGTACATCAACTACACCTCAATAAAAAAAAAAGAGATAGAAAAGCTACAGATATTGAACAAGAAAAAAAAGTACATGAGAATTGATATAATTTAAATTAAAATTTTTAAATTAAGGCATGACTGCAGCTGTAAGAAAAACAGCCCGTACGCTAGATATAGGTTCAAAAAATTACATACAGCTATGTTAATAGTTAGAGTAATATGTCTGCAGGTTAATATTTTGCTACTTCCAAGTACACTTCAAGGCCGATTTGGTATTTTAAAGTAGCTATGTAAAGTTAACTGGGGTCATATAGAAAAAATAACATACATATGTGTACATACAGATGCGCATACATGCATACCAGTTTAAACAAGTTAAAATTTCTTTCAGGGAAAGTAAAAAGTGTCTCTATTTGTTTCCTTCTTGGCCCCTGATCACCTTACTTTAAGTGCTACTTTTATAACTTTTAACTATAACTGTGGAAATATGTAATCTGTATTTCTGTTCAGATAGGTATTACATGCGTAGCTCATGCATTGTCTTTAAACACCTAAAGATTGCACTGTTTATGGTGAAGTGATTGGATTAAAACCAAAGTATTTTTGGTCTTCTAATAGCACAGGAAATTATTAAAGATTTTAACACGCACAAATGAGTTCTGTAAACTTTATAACCTCAAATACATTTGATTTTAGCTGTGTTATTTGGAAGTAAACAATTTTTAAAAGGGGTAGCTTAGTACTCTTTTCTTAACTCGCTACCAAATCGAATTTAAAACTACAAGTCTAATTACGAGATATCAAGCATAATTTAAAATTTCTTCATGATATAAAAATCAGGGTTCCTGATTTTCTATTTTCTTAGCTAAAAATGCCAATAATAGTTCACTTCTAAAAGATCACAGTTAAAATCTAATTAAGAGGAAGCCTTCCCTTAAAAGATAGAGCCCCCTCTCTCGTGGATTAGAGGCAAGAACTTTATACTGGGCTCACTTTACAGACACCTGCATCATACCTGTGGGTGGTCTGGACATATATTTGAACCTCAGCTTTTGGTGTTCTCATTTACACATTCCATGGCAATCAAATTGTATTTTATGTTCAAAATGATCATTCTTCTGCTAACGCATGAATACATATCCATTCTATGCAGAGCCTACAGTATCCCCTTTCCTTTCTGACCACCCCCATCCAACTTACTAGTTTGGTATTGTCCTTGTTTGATCTTTTAAGGAAAGGAAGGGAAAAGAGAAAAAGAAAGAAGAAAAGAAAGAGCCATTTCACATCAGTAGATGATCAAAAATTCCATAGTCTTCCCCCCTCCTTACCTCCAAAGTTTATTTGAATTTACATAGATGTTTTACAGATATAATCAAGTCTTCCCAGAGGGATTAATCTTTCCTTGCTTTTTACCTGTTTAGAGAGTCTGTTTTCCTCTTCAATGTACTTCTGTTCTTTGGGTATTAATGTTCGTAAGCTGGCTTTCACCTATACATCAACATATGTGTCTGTTATGGATTAATATAGTACAAATGTTTACAAGTTTTTCACGCAGTTCAATTTGCAATAATTTCGAAAGTTTCAAAGTCCTGGCTGCTGTGCTCATAAAATATAAATGTATACAGTTGCACAGGCATGCGCTTCCATTTCTGACGCCGGCAGGCAGCGGCCAGAGCCCAGCCACAGCGGCAGCCGCCAGCTATAACAGAAAGTGTGGGTGTGCCAGGCAGTGGCAGAAGCGTATTCTCCAGGATACATCAAGGTTTAGAGAAAATGAGGAATGACAGAAATTCTCTACAAATCAGGAACAAAAGCTTTCATGAAACTGAACTCTTTAGCAGTACAAAAAAGCCAAAGTTAAGACTTACAGCATTAAAAATCACATCTATTTCAAGATAGATGACCCCCTTTGTTGGCCCTGTCAGCTGCTTGTTTTTCAAGACGTAGGCTTTCTGTTCACCATTTTGAATCTGCGGGAAAAGGACATGACAGCCGTCTGTCTCGCGGTCTCCACTGAATACACTCCCTCAGTGACCTTTGACCCCCAGCTGCTGAAACTGACAGAGAACCCAAAACAACTGTGGCAATTCTGACAAGTACCTGTTCATTACCAGGATCAAGTCTGTCAGGAAAAATTAACTATCATGGGATTCAACATGGCCGTGCATTGAGTATGTTAAAATTTTTAGTGTTCTTATTACAGACCTTGGTTGAGAAATGACAGATATAGAGCTGAGGGTTTTTTTTTTTTTTTCCTTGAGCAAAAGCAACACAGAGCAGTGTGTCAGGTGAATGAAACTTACGGACAGCAATGGTATAGCAACTTTGCCCAGAAAGTCAGCACTTCGATCCCGATCTTCATCATAAACTGTCACTTCAAGAACTGAATGGATATCTTTAATGTTGCTGCATAATAAATATATGTAAGGAAAAAAAGACTTCATCAGTGGGGAACAAGAACACAAATGCTTTTGAAAATTTAGATAGCTCCAGCTGATTTGGTATATATGTGCTTTATGTATACTATTTGCATACACATACATAAGGTAGCTTGGTATCTGACAGAATTTCCCACAGTGCACCTTACTAGACATGATGGTTCTATTATCTGGAACTTTGAATACAACTGTAACTTTAAGTTATAATTTTTCAATAAAATATAATTTCCATCTGGATGGGCAAAGAATAAGTTATTGTAAAAAAAATCAATAAGTGGCACTTATTTTTTTTTTTAGACTTGTCCTATTCTCATTATTACAATAATTCCCATCTTCTTGTTACTCCCACATGAAGCACCACCAGGTTTGATTTCAGCAAGAGTCACAGTATAGTTTATATAATTTTTCTTTTTTATCATAATAGAACATCTCCTTTATCTTTATAGCTCTCACCAAAACTCTGACTTATTTCTGTTTGGTTTATAGTAAAAATTAACCAACACAGAGTACAGAATGAAGAAAATGTAACATTGATAGCTATTGTACCACCCTAGGATTTAGAAATTAAGTAGTGTTCCATTATGTTCCAAAGACAACATATGTTAATAAACAAGTATGCAAGCTCTTCATATTTTGTTTCTAGAAAAATAAGCCCCATTTATTCTTTGATCAAACTGTTTACCAAGAAAACATGAATTAAGAGAAAACAAAAAATGAATATATTCATTACTGAAAGACTGCAACCACATGTGAGAAAAGGCTTTATCAGAGCACAATCAATTAATGGCTTTGATAATTATCAAACCTACTCATTCAATTATACATTCCAGAGAAAAACACTCTCCACAACCTTCTTAGGAGTGCAAGTCTCCTGACCAGGCTTTCATCTCTTATAAAAATGTGAAATTCCTTAAAGATAAATTGGTCAGATAATTAAATCTGATTAGTTACTGGCTCTTAAGCAAGGACATTATAAGAAATTAATGAGGAATTTAGCAGTTTCTCATATACGAAAATAAAACAGTTTCTCATATACGAAAATAAAATAAAATTATGTTAGCAAACTTAAGAAGTACTTCTGTTTGGAGAGTTTTCCTTTGTTCAGAGTTCATTTCTAAAGCCCAGCTTTTAAAAAAAAAAAAAAAACAACCACGGACTTAGGAGATACTATAGTGTAGCATCGGCAGCTTTTACAGTGCATGATCGAAAAGATTTACAAACTTTTTAAAACAAAAAGAAAATTAACTCAAAGTGTTTTCTGGTACGTAGGACAGTACTTAATATTCTTATTGTGCTAAAATGCAATAAACCAAAACTAAAACATCTGCCGAATCCAAGACTGGATTGTTTGCTGATTTGAGCAATGGAACAAATAGAGCTTTGTCCTCCTTGGTGTCAGTGCAATTGGGGAGAATTTCAATAGAAAGTATAAAAGGAAGAAGCAGTACGGCAATTCAGTTAATGGGAGCAAAATCCTTCGTCAAATCATATATAAAATGCACAGTTTAAAAAAAGTATCTGTGAAAACAAAGAAAAATGCCATACCCTTTCCCCAGGTTTCACTATCAGGAAGGTAATGCAATTATGCATTCATTGTTGCTGGCAAAGGCAGGCCAGATTCATTGAGTTGTTAATCAGTTAAGAATAAACGCACAAAAATCTCAAAAATAAATATCATTTAGCAGCAGTTTTGAAATGAGCTCAAAGTAATGACTACTTACAATGTGAAGACTTTGTTCCACTCAGGATTGAGATTTTTGTAGACAGTATGTGTTAGCAGCCTGTCATTGTTCAGTTCAACCACACAAAATGGGTCGCTTTTACCTACAAGAGATATGGAGGGAACATTTATAGTACAAATTGCACACACAGTTCACAGTGTCGTGACCGTGACCACATCTCTTTTCTAAAAAGTTTTATAGAAAACAAAAAGTAAAGTAACATTTTAAAAATTAAAAAATAACATCAAAATAGAGTTAGATATAACTGGGTGACGCTAACAATTGTGATTCAGAGCAATTTAGAACTTGAAAAAAGTAAAAGAGAGCAAATTACATGGCTGCTACTTTAATTTGCAATTTTTTTTACAAAAATACTACTATAACTGCTGGTTATGAGGGGAAACGTGATACATATCCATCCCTAAATCAGATTTTATTTAATTCAGTGACCTTTGAAAGGTTCAGCCCCTTTACTTTAATGCATGTATTTTCCAACTCATCAGACTCACTAGGAACTTGTAATAGAAATTCCTAAACAAGTTTATTTTGGGAAAACTGTTATATTGCAGAATTACAACATTTTAATCTGACTTTAGATTCTCTTCTGAAATATCTGTGGCATCACAAAACGGTAAATTAGACCCTCTGAGGCAGAAAAAAATTCTGCCATTTGAAACTTAACCTCAGTAACCAATCTGCATGTTAAAGAGCAGTATTTCTCCTGTCCACGGAGAGTGAAGGATTTGGAAGTTATCATATATTCAGAACCACTCTACTCAGCCATAGTCAAACCTCATCCATTCGGTAATTATATCTTGCGATGTCCTCAATATTTTTGTAATGTCATGTTCTGTATTGTAAGAACCCATAAAGTCATTGGCTCTATGGGGGCAGCATTAATGATATTAGTGCAGCATGTAATTTGTTTGATACCTTATACAAATGACAATGAAATCAATATTTAGAGAAAGCTGTCCAGAGGTCATATCTTTTAAACTACAATATTGATTTAGACTACATAAGAGGTTAATGTGCATATTATTAACTTTAATGATAAAGAATAATTGTTTTAAATGCATTGTGAATTGTAGTCACAGTAGTTTACACTTCTGTGAAAGCTTAAATATCACTGAAGATTTTCAATTAAATTTTAATAGGAAAGAATTCATTAGCTATCAGTGACAGATAAGCTATGTATTCCCACACAGCAGTGTATTTACTTTCCATATTGTAATTTTGAAAATGAGCTGCACAAACTGTGATTCACCTTTAATTTAATTTATTAATTTTACATTAAAAAAGAGATTTAATATGTGTGTGTTAGTTCAGTGGCCTCCTATAGCCCAGGATAATTGCGTAATTTAACATTATGGCAGTCTTTTCAGTTGTTGGTCTTGGGAATAATTTTCAATAAAGAATAGAGAACTGAAACTCTTTAAGGTCGGGTGAAAATTTTACCTCTGGTTTAGGATCTGTATTTTTCCCCACCTCCTTCAGTCCTCTTGCCCTACCTGTTACCACTCTCATTTACAACTCACACATGCCATGAAAGATGGTATTCAAAAAAATTTTTGTTCATTAAATCACGGTGTAATAGGCTTTATTTGCCACATCAACAACTTAATTTTCTCCCAAAGAATTCAGGTACAAGCATGAAAAATAGATTAGTTTTCAAAAGCTTAGTTATTCTTAAGGCTCATATTAAGCATCTTCTCTCCACGTCTAGCTTTGTGCTGGGTACTATGGTATAAACAAAAGAACAGAGCACATAAACTCCAACCTCAAATAGTTTATAAAAGGTTTGGAGAGATAAAATATATCTACATATAACAAACATAGGGGAGATTAAAGCCACATTTATGATAGAATTCATGTCAAAAGAGTATTTTACTTTCACTTTAGATGAAATGATTAACTTTGGAAACATTTACTTAAAAGACAAGTGTAACTCTCATACTCTTGCTTGGACCTCATTTTAACTTTTCTTATATACATGTACATTCACGTTAATCAGTAAAAAGTAACTACAAAAAGATAGCACTTTCCAGTATTTTTGTTCCCTCATTTTCACTTGCTTTACTTCAATTACTGTTCTATTTCAACTGACTTGGTTTTACTTTCCCTCAAATGACCAACAATGTGTAATAGATTCAGTCAAAACGGTACCACTGCTTCAGTAACAAAACACAAGAACAAATTCCAGAGACCGAAATCTATGGTGAAAAAATTTACCTGAAACTTCTACAAACAGAGGATGAAAATCTTTACTTGACTTTTTTCCCCACAGGAAGTATATCCAGTTGTGTAAGACTGAATACAGTTCTTTCAACCAACCCCATGGAAAGTCTCCCAAATCATCACCTTTGTTGCTGTATTTTTAATTTACTGACAGTAGAAGATCTAGAGTCAGTGGTTGGCTAAAGGATCAGAAAGAAACAAAATCTGTGCTTAATGTTTAACATTTTTCATATCTTGTTAAGAAACTGGTATGTTTATCAAACTCTATGCCCATGAGGTAGGTAGTGGCAATCCATATTTTCTTACTATTTAATTGATTATTTCTGAAGACCATTCCTAGGGAAAACCAGTATCAGCCATCCATCGTCACATTACTTAATCTCTCAGTTACTTTTCTCTACTAGAAGAAAGATGTTAAAGAACTAGAGACATTTCCACACCAAAAACAGCGTAGAGCCTTCTAAAGCCACTTCTCAGTCATTTTGCTATTCGAAATTCCAGTGGCATACCATCACTGGCAAAGATATTCTCCTATCAGAACCTATATTATAACTTGGAATGGGTAACCAATATAATTTTTAAGAGACCGTGTTAGACATTATGCAGAATATAATGGTGCTTACGTTAAAAAAAAAAGAGCCTTTTGCCTGAGGTAGACCAAACTGCTATTTGACATGGCTTTAATTCAAGCTGATTTTCTCCAATCTGAAATCTATTATTCTTAACCTGCTGACAGTCATATAAAAGACTGACTGTGGTCAGTGACATGACCCAATCCATGTAATGCTGTCATTTTCATTTTTCTGAAAACTTCTCAAGTTTAACACATCTTTGATGTCTTCTCAGAGCCCATAGGTTAAAATCCACATCATATGGTATAGAATATAGTCTTTCATTTCCAATCTCAAGGTCCTTAAAATCCCTTACTTGAGCTGTATCACACCTTTTGATTCCTCAAATATTCCATGTACTTCTAGAGTTCTGGGCAAGGCATTAAAGTTCAAAGCAAAAGCGCAGTGGTCTGGGGAAAAGGGCCTAAACTTTGGAGGCTGAGCAATCTGGGGTTGAATACTCACTCTAGGACCCTGGACCTGTTTCCTCACACATTCAGCAGTGACTGTAATGGTCCCTTGCAGATATAATAGTTAGAATACAAGTAGCAGAATGTCTGGCACACTAGCAAGGGCCTCAATAAATAATAGCAATAATAAGGGCAATTACAATACTTATTATTGTCATAATTGCAAATATTTTCTGAGTTTTTATTATAAGCCCAACATTATGTTTTCAAGAAATTTTATGCCTACTTTATGAGAAAGATGCTTTTACTATTTCTATTTTACAGAGAGGAAACTGAAGCTGGCAGATTATATAACTCACCAGGTCACACAGGTTGTAGTGGAGCTATTATTCAAACCCAGGTCTATCTGATCTTCAGAGCCCTTGCTCTACCCCTGTGGTCCATGCTCCCTTTAATTAAATAATATTTAAATGTAAGCCACTAGGGAAGACCTTTCCCAATAACTGTGCCATACCTCAGTATTTAGTGGGCCACACCCAAGGAAAGAGCTGGGTAATGTCTTGTCCATAGATACATTCAGTCAACAAATATTTATTGTTCACCACGTACCAGGCACATTCTATGTGCTGAGGAGACAGACATAAAACAATTAAAAAAACCCTTGAACTTATGGAGTTTGCATTGAGGAAGAAGAAAGACAATGAATAAGACCATTTTATAGTATTTTAGGTGATAAGTACTATGGAGAAAAGTTAAGTTGGGAAGGTCAGTGAGGAGATATTGGAGGGATTGGGGTTGAGGTGTGACAGGATCTGATGGTTGCTCTTTGGAGAATAAGGTAGAGAGAGGGCAATGGAGGAGACGGGAAGAAGAGTTAGGAGGATATTACAATAACCCAGGTGACGTGGAGTGGTTCGATTCTGGATATATTTTGAAGGTAGAACCAAAGGAATTTGCAGATGTCATTATTTAACAATCTATTGTGCCTGATATTATTATCTGGGAATGGAAAACAATTTACTGAGCTTAGCCAAGTCAGTCTTTTTTCTTTTTTTTATTTTGCGGTATGCGGGCCTCTCACTGTTGCGGCCTCTCCCATTGCGGAGCACAGGCTCCGGACGCGCAGGCTCAGCGGTCACGGCTCACGGGCCCAGCCGCTCCGCGGCATGTGGGATCTTCCCGGACCGGGGCACGAACCCGCGTCCCCTGCATCGGCAGGCGGACTCTGAACCACTGCGCCACCAGTGAAGCCCCAGTCTTTTTTTGCAAGGTCAAGAAGCATTCAACAAAATACTCTGACTAGATATTTCTAGAATCCAGCAGAGGAAAATTTAGGTAAGGAAAGGCAATTTTATTTTTAACTTCCATTTTCATCTTTTCCTTCTAAAAAGTTATGTTTTTACAGTTATCAGTGTGGATGCCAACATTAGTTCTTTACACACTATGTTCTTTTTGACTAATTTAAAAAGAATCCTCCTGCCATTAAAGGCATTAAAGGCATTAAAGGGCAATTAAAAATTAACAGCAATTTCAGCCAAAATAACAGTAAACAGACAATATCAAATACTATAAACTTACTGCTAGAAAGCACCCACTAGAGCTTTATTTTAAAGAAGTGGCTACAGATAGTTAATGTGTTTATCTGGTTTGCTAAATGATGCTTTAAATGACTGGCTTCTCAGTTCCTAAATTTTGCAGTCTTGATTATGTGCCACCTAAACAAACAAAAACAATCACAGAAATACCAATGATGGATCTAACCATTAATTATCTCCTTAATTATTCCTTCTTTTCATCCTTTTATCATTCCAGTTAGACCCTGTGATATGCTGCTTTGCTTGCTG